ACGCACTTCGACGCGACGAACCCCGAGGCGCGCGCTTTTGTCTGGAGCAAGGCCAAGCAGCACTACTACGATAAGGGCATCAAAGTCTTCTGGCTCGACGAGGCGGAGCCCGAGTACGGTATCTACGACTTTGACATCTACCGTTACCACGCGGGCAGCAATCTGCAGATCGGGAACATCTTCCCCAAGGAATACGCCCGGGGCTTCTACGAGGGCATGCAGGCTGAGGGCCAGGAGAACATCGTCAACCTCCTCCGCTGCGCCTGGGCCGGCAGCCAGAAGTACGGTGCCCTGGTCTGGAGCGGCGACATCGCCTCCTCGTGGCCGACCTTTCGCAACCAGCTGGCGGCGGGCTTGAACATGGGCCTCGCGGGGATCCCCTGGTGGACAACCGACATTGGGGGCTTCCACGGTGGCGACCCCAACGACCCCGCCTTCCGGGAGCTCTTCACCCGGTGGTTCCAGTGGGGAGCATTCTGTCCGGTGATGCGGCTGCACGGGGACCGCGAGCCCGTACCGGAAGGCCAACCCACCGGGTCTGGCGCCGACAATGAGATCTGGTCGTACGGGGAGGAGGTCTACCAGATCTGCAAGAAGTACATCGGCATCCGCGAGGAGCTGCGCGACTACACCCGGGGCTTGATGAAGGAAGCGCACGAGAAGGGATCCCCCGTGATGCGGACCATGTTCTACGAGTTTCCAGATGACCCCAGGGCCTGGGATTGCGAGACGCAGTATCTCTTTGGCTCTAAGTATCTGGTGGTTCCCGTGCTGCGGGCCGGACAGCGGAAGATCACGGCGTATCTGCCGGCTGGGGCGTCGTGGCAGCTGTTGGATGAGAAGCACGACCAGGTCTGGAAAGGAGGACGCGAGGTCGAGGTGGCTTGTCCCATTGAGACGATGCCTGTCTTCATTCGAGTGTAGGTTTGTATTCAGATTAGATTGGGGAAAGCCAAGGTCCAGGCTGCAGAAGATATAGCTCCACTAAATGCTGAAGAGTTCTAGAAGATAACCAGCACATTGCACCAGTAGATCCCACCCCCAACATCTGCAAGAGAGTACGAGGCCTGCGTAGTTCTTGAATGCCGTTCCGAACCGTAAAGCTAAGGGAAGGGCTGGCGGGTGTCAAGGCCGCAGTTGTCGGTCGTATTGCGAAGTCTAGTCAGACGGGGTCAGCATGTACTGACAACGCTTCAATCCGCTACGCAGGGACTTGTCAATCGAATAATGGTCACTACGGATGTAATAAATGCTAGTCAGTGCTTTATTCACTGAAAGCACATTCACCCCAAGGGCAACAGGAGGACCTGTCTTAACCCTCTATATGCCCCTGCATGATCATAGACAAATCCTCCTTACCTTATGTGGGAGAACATCCACCATCTCTTTGTGCTCAGATCCACTTGTCGACAGTCGATGTCGTTCTCGTTTCAATCAATCGGCGGTGTAAACAGGTTATCAGATGGGTTACTTGTTTCGCCAGTTGCGGCGACAGCGGTTTATGAATACTGCTGTAGGATGTAATTCTGTCATCTCATCTTTCTAGTGCAGGATTTGCCTAGTGAATTGGAAATAAACACATAAAAACCATGTTGATAGAATGGGGCAGCAAGAAGCCCCTTTGGCTATGTTGGTACTATAGTCGTTTGAACACGAAATCACCTCTGATATCGTCTGACACCACAGTGGCCTGGTACACAACTTGAATGGCAGCAGCAGCAGCAACCCAAGCAAAAGCATTGACCACAATTCGCCTAGGCAGAGTCGGCGCCAAGTACCTCCCTTAGGACACAACAAAGATGTGATATTTGATGATTGATATATCCACTCGTCAATCCTTGAGCCCGAACTCGCATATTGCGGACTGTCCCCCATCCGCAGCCTTTCTTAAACCACCTATTCTGCACCAAAAATCCTGCCATGCACCTTTGAGGGGGGATCAAGATCTGCTTTACTGGTGGGAAATACCAGAAACCTACCCAGCGAAGCCAGTCAGCCAACCAGCTAGTGAGATTCCATCGAGGCGCAAGCTCATGAAGGAGTCCTTAGCAAGATGGAGATATGTCCAAAGAGGGCAAGAGACAGGACAAGTGACAAGTAGGACCCCTCCCCGCCTCTGAAAAAAAGAAGAATGACCAACGAATGTAAGGAAAAGAAAGGAACCCGCAAGAAACAGCTAGAGGGAAAGAAGGGATTTGGCACTCCGTGGCACACAGATAGTGCTACTAGCTTAGCAGAACACAATAGAAACGATGTGGTCATCAGCGATGGCGCGTGGCTTTTCCATCTCACAGATCTACTACAGCTAGGGAGACGTAGCTAGCTAGAGGACCTGAAAATTGCGCCTCTGAGTTGTGCTCTTATCATAGGCACATACACACAGACCGTCAACCCTGTATGTAGTGTGTGTGTGTTGAATCTCTATTCATGCGGCAGCTTCTGCTTACTGGTGGCAGAAAATAGGTACGGTACAGTACTCGTGCTTTGTTTTCAAACAGATTAGAATAAGAAGCTTCTGTGTGCCACTCAGAGCTGGTATCAGTGGGGTGAGTGTCTAGTTACTCCGTACTAAATGTGATGTAGATTAGGTGGTATTGGTATTGCTTGCTTCCTTTTGCGTGTCTCTGTGTCTGTATGCTTGTATCTCTACGACTGGTGGATCAGATTCAATCGAATTCCGCGCCCCCCTCCCCCTCCAACCTCAGCTCTGTCATTCCCACATGCAAGTGTTTTTGCTTTTCTGCTTGTACCATGGAAAGAGAACTGTGGGACTTCGGGGAAAGGGATGATACAATACACAACACCCTACACTGTGGTGCAAACCAGCAACGATACTATTATTATCATTATTATTATCATCATCATCATAATCTTACGAAACTCCATCCCACCTCCCATCCCTCCGTCGTTTCCAGGAAATCGCATTGAGGGGGTCAGGAGTATAGGGGTGTTCTGACGTGAATGTCACTAAGATTAGAGGCGAAGAGAGGAAGAAGGTTGGTACCGAGCATAAGAACTGTAACCTCCAGCTGTTTCGTCTATACTTATCCGTGGGAGGAGGGGGGCGCGCGAGTGCATCCACTTTTGGATACACGGACCTACAGGACAAGAAAAACAAGTAGTAGACGTAGATCATCTGTATCAGCCCTGCCTAGTTTGGGGAGTTCGAGGGTTACCTATCTTGAGGGAATCGACATAAGTTAACTAGTGGTGATGAATAACTCCGGACTAGCTGATGAATTCCTGGAAAGCAAGTGACAATAAGCCACTGTATAGTACTGTACATACTATACAGTACCGCGCACATGGAAGGAGAATGATAAAACTCATCCGAAGCGAAACCACGAAGATGAAAAGCGCTAAAACACTTCATTCTCATAACGATATCCCCTATACACTCATCAACTACATTGACATAATTTGGAAAATGCGAGTCATGAAATAACCCGGAATCACTCCAAGAACTAGCGCAAGACAATCATCGAACCAAGATCAATGGGGGAGAAAAGAATGATGCAAGAACCACTTGAGGTCCCCGATCGATCGGGTTCGGAGGCCAGACTTCCCCTCAATCCTACGAGAACGTATCTTGGATGGACAATATACCCAGCTGGATGGCATCCTTTTTCTTTTCTTTTCTTATTCTTGCAGCTGAATTGCTTTTGGTGGTGGCGTAGCATTCAGCAGCAGCAGCAGCAGCAGGAGGAAGAAGAAGAAAGAATCCACGTGATTGGATCAACCCACCCCTAAACACTAGCCCGGGTAACCCTGGAAGCCATGGTTATTATGTCAAAGTACTCCGTAAACAAGTCCCGCTAACAGTGCTCCCATATGTTCATACAAGACAACCACTTTGCATGTTTAACCTCATGAGTCAGGATCAGACATCAGGAGACAGGTTAAGAACCAGACAAAAGTATTGGGGGAGAGCATACCTACAACAATACAAACAATACACGCACACTCACACAACCAAGAAACAAAGTAGCGAAGTTTTACTACCCTAACAATACCGAGAAAACGCCCGCAACGGCCCGTATCTGACGAGTCCACGTGGGAAGGTTCTTTTTCACTTTTTCTATTTTTTTTTTTTGTGTTTTTGCAAAAGAAGAACCCCTTGCGCCTGAGCAGTTTGTGCTTTGGCCCTCTCTCTTTTCCCTTTTGAGGCGGGAGGGAAAAAAAAAGGAATTAGTGTCTTTTTGTCACAGGGTTCCGTCCAGTACAGTAACAGAAGGTACTGTACTGATAACGAGGTGAATGCGGATTACGCAGTACTGCACAGGATTTACATTACCTTCGAAGGGGGTGAAACGAGAATACCAAACTTGAAAAGTCGGAGCCCAAAAGGGTCGGTCGATCCACTCTTGACAAATTCCCCCTTCCCTGAACTATTATTATGAATCCCGTTCCTTCTCGCTGACTTTCTCCTGATCTGGTAATTGGTTTGTGCCCACAGGTTGCCTTTTGGTCCCTGCGCAATTGTACGGCGGAGGAGAGACGTCGCGTGGATGGTGCTTTGCCAATGGGTGAGGGGGGGCCATCGGGCGCACCAGGAATTCTATATATGTATTCTGTATCTGGATCTGAAAGGGGATTTGTGTGAAGCTCTATATTGGGAGATGTCAGCTCCAGCAGGATAATCAAGATAATGAAGGTAGAATCGACTACAATTCCATAGTACACAGTACTCCGTAAGACGTCAGGGAATGGCTTGCGGTATTGCATTAAAACATCCTCAGTCCGTACTGTACATGTATCTGTTGGCCATTGTGTACAATACAACGGGGGCACCGTAACTTGTGTGTATTCCGCCTTTTCTCCGTCTCCGTATCGATACCCGCATGAGGTCAGTGACTTTTATTCCTTATCCACGATGCTAGACGAAAGAGAAAAGGCATTTCAGAATAAATGAAAATCGTTGCCGATCACGGGCGGACCGGCAAGGCGGGTACCCTAATCCTAATCCAGAAAAGTAGATCATCGTGCACACCGAGATGCTCCGAGAGCCAATGAGGATTGTCAACTGAGTCTGATCTCAACGTTGTGCTGGGTTTCCCATCCCCCATCCATGATGGATGGATTCCCATCTTTCTTGCTGGCTGGCATCGATCAGAATTGCCCAGTGGGCCCCGGCGCGTGGCGCTAAACCCGTCCCAAAAGGAAAGCCAGGCCCTCCCAAATGCCTACCGTAGGTCCCAACTGCACTGCATCTCTTTCTTTTCTGACCCCGACAAAAGCCAGCCAGCCCAGCCCCAGCCAAGCTACTTACCTGGGATCTTTGGTCTGGCTCCTTCAACAGGAAGAAGGGGAATGGGGCGGATCCACCTGTTCCAGCCTTTCTCACATTTTTGTTCTTCTCAACCCACTTCCTTCAGCTACTTCTTCTTGGAGGTCCAAGGGGTCACCGGCAGGGTTGAAAGCTGAATTATGGGGAGGAGGAGAGGAAGAAGCAGCAGAAGAAGGAACGTAAAGTCGGCGAACTTCCAGACCGATGCTCAATCATAATCTCCAGTCCATCAGTCCATCCATCATGGATTCGAGACTTCGATTCCTGTTCAGAGGTAAATCAAACATAGAGTGCACGTACGAGGTAGTAAATTAGAATCAGTTCCTAAACGAGACGTTGAACAAGAAGGAGAAAAAGAAAAGAAAAAAAAAAAAACCAAGGAACGGCACGGGGTACCAATCGATCTGAGTGACGGAAGGGCCGTGTTCTGCAATGCCAATTCCATGTCCTTTTTCGGACGCAAGCAGACAGAAACACAGAACACGGCATGTAAAAAGAACATTTTTAATCCTCTGGATTGAGGCTGTTCAAAGTATATAGATATACTGTGGCCAGGGTGCGGACTGTCACAATGTTACTAGTATATTTGAGTTGGGATTCGGATACTGCCACTAAAAGCTTGACAGAAAAGTGTGTGTATGTCAGAATCGTGCATATCCGAAACCTTACGTATTTGTACAGTACATAATCTCCTTTGTGCTTGATACCCGCGGGGTCAATTTCTTCGACGGGGAGGGCCCGCCGACCCGCCCACGATTCCAATTAAAAGCCCTCCCGATCATGAGAAAGCGAATGATGCGAATCGGAAATGAGGGCAGATAACGGGGGGGTGGAGGGGAAGAGAAGAGAAGAGGGGGGAGTGCTTTAGCATCCAGCGACTATGCTCAATGAGGTATATGCAAGAGGTCTCTTTAATTTATCTTTGATTACCTATACTGATCGATGCTTGATTGGTAACTGCTTGGCCCATTACCCGTGGGACCGGGGAAGAATATTAAAAAGTGAAAGAGGGGGAAGCTTTGCTTTTGGTTTCGGGGAGGAGCAAGCAGAAGATACCAGAAAACAATGATCCATGGTAGCAGCCCGCCCGTTATGTCCCAAGCATCGAGGTGGTTCTTGAACGATGATATCCCAAAATTTTGGGTTCTGTGTTGAGCTCAGGAAGTAATTAAAGTTTCTTGATTGTCCGTTACAGGCAGGAAGGAGACTCAAATCGGATGTACCCGACCCTATGGTACCGTCTGCCCGTCAACAAGGTTATCCTTTCGGCTTCTTTCCACTTTCTTTCCTCGAGACGAGCTTCTTGTTCCCAGCAGACTTTGGCAGAAATTGTATCTATTGTATAGGAAATGAGAATGGACAAAGTTTAGGGGGTCACAAGAGATACAGGCGTTTTCGAAAGTGGAAAATCAGACGAGGGGGCGAACAAGAACCCCAACAAGGTGTTCATGGTCATGATGATGATGATGATGATGTGACGTGCTGACTGATGAGTCCTTTTTTCCCAAGTCAAGATGCCTGCACTCGTGCATCATTGACATCCTCCTTCATCATAATATCAGCCACTACTATGGCCTATTGAGCTTGGTAACTTGGTAAGAAAGTGTAAGGGTGGAAGGCATATCCGCATTTTTTCGATAGTACGTACTCGTAGCAAACGGAAGTCAAGAGTCAGCCCCACCACCCGGAGCTTTGGAGCAGCCAATTCCATCATACTCATAGACGATACGATTTATACGATCCTCGCCCACCGACCGATGGTGGCAGTGCGACCATGTGTCAGTACAGTACTATTAATCTTCCGATTCCGATACCTCGTCAATCCTCATCGACTTCCGAAAAGCGGAGCATACAGGGAGGCTGAGAAGAGGATAAAGCAAACTCCCAATCAATCTTCCTTTGTATTTAGCGAAGACAATGACCCTACCGTTAAGGGCCACTCTATCGCTGGAAGAAGCAGTGGACTCCCCTTCACAGGGCTCCGCCTCAGCGGACTTTGAGATCGCGATATCCGATACGTTAGCGGGACGTCGAGAGATCCAATCAACTCAACCATCACTCCAGATGTTTTAGTACTACACCTAGTTACCAGCCGGATAACCCGGGCCAAAGATTCATTTTTAGCTTCCCACCTTCTCGCAAACTGACGCGGCCGTTTCACATCAGACACTAGCTCAGGTCTTAGTTTTTGGAGCATATGTTTTCCCCCCCTCTTACTTGGGCTTTGATTTTGTTTTAGTTTTGGAGCTCGCGCGGTCGCTTGCCAACCGAAAAAATATATATATATATATCTTTAAAATAAAAAAACGAAGAACGGTTCTTTGAGGAGGGCGGTCAAGCTAGGACGACCGGGAGATCATTTAGTATATACGGTCATACGGTCGGTACTAGTCACCCCGGGTGATTTCTCACACTGCTGGAACTTTCGGGACGTACTACCAGTAAGGTACGTACTACGTTACTCCGTAGAAATACTAGAAGCAAATGTGAATTGGTTTGGGTCGGCAACGCCGTTGGCTGGCTGAAGTCAAGTCACACTCAACTCGGAACCCTAACGAACCACAGTACCTTACTATGGCTGTGTCCACGGTCCACGGTCACTCCAAGGCTTGGGCCGTTGCCTTCCAAATCGAGTAATCGGGCGTTATCTCCAGGCTTTATCTCACATACGACTCATGCATAAGGACAAGACTGGTTTCATAAGGGTTTATTAATGGAGCATTGAATCTAACTAACCAACTACACCATAGTTAGAGGAGAAGGCAGGAGAGAGACAGAGAGGGAGAATCGGCCCCCAATCTCTCATGATGGATGGGTGGTTTCTTTCCTTTTCCTTTTTAGAGCAACGGTCTAGAGCTCGGGTTCTTTGTTTGGGATAGGCATAATTGACCGTCTATTATTACATTCCGTCGGGATGCGGGCAGATCAGGCAGCTAGGTACGGAGTACGGAGTCGGGATCTAGGCAGAAGCTGGAGATATACTACTACTTGCTGCGATATGGGGGTGGCTTGGTCTTCTCTTGGAGTGAGAGGGGATTCCATAGGTGATGATGATATTACACTATGGTCACCGATAATCTATTTGGAACCAAGTAAAGCTCCCCGATCCATGCATCAAGCTGCATATAACTGACGATCACAGAAACTCCGCGCCAGCCTCAATGCTCCCTCCCTCCCCACGCCTACCTCCATGGCCTGACTGAATGATACTTCAATACCATGATGATCATGGATCAATGATGCCATTTCCTTTGTTTGATAACCCAAAACTGAAATTAGAAGAAAGAGAAAAAAAACACCTTTTGTATACTCATCCAAGTTCCAGTTTACGATGGGCACTAAATCCCCGCAAAATAGATTAAAGCCCGCGCCAGACCGCAAGGCATATCATGTTTGTTGGGAAAATCTTGGGCCCTCCCGGGAAGAGGGGTCCTCTTGTTCGTAACAGATTAATTCTTTCCAGTTTCTTTTTGCGATCGAAGGTTGGAGAAACATTCTGGTTTGTTTCAAGAATCGATTCTCATGTACATAATGTCCTGGAATCTGAAAGGAAGGCGGGATTGTGGCTTCTTTTTGGACTGTTTCCCCCCTTCGTGTCTAAAAGCCCGTATTTGTGTGTGGGTGTGGGTGGGCGGAGATTAGTTTCAGCTGTCAGGCTGAGCTTCGATCTTGTCTAGGGCAATTTGGATAGATGATATTAAAGCAATTTAACACAACAACCCAATAAACACCCGTCAATCAAACCGGCCAGCGGTTTCTTTAATCTTAAATTCATATAGTTCATGACGAGTATAAAGTTACATTTCGTGACAAAGAGCTTGCAGGGAAGGAGTCTCTTGGGGAGAGTTAGGGAAAAGAAATGTACAGTACATAGGTAGTAGAAGTTGACTGGTACAGCAAAAACAGTACTTACATACAGGTAGGTGTACGTTCTCGGGATTCGGTTCCTGATGTTCAGCAAATCGTGGAACGGTTTTCTTCCTTCCGCCGGGTGCTCCACTGGTAAGCAGCATCAATCAGCCTCGTTCTTGTTCTTGTCCACTATATTTGAGATTGTTCGGTTTTTCGGGGGTCCATTGGAGGAGAGGACTGTACACAGTAAGAACGGTGGTTTGTGAAGAAAATCAGAAGTCGAGTCACGATGATAACGAACCACCAGTTCCATCACCATCACTCCAAGCCCTCCCCTCCATTATGGATTATCAGAACCAATCCTGATTAGCTTGACTAGTAAGGAAGTTAACTTCACACGATTCATTCGTCACAATGGAGTTGCAAGTGGATGAAGAATGAACCTGGCAAATACGTCACGTTGGACAGGCTGTTGGAGAATCGAAAAAGGGAGAAGAAAAAAAAAGAAAACATTCTCTGCGGTTGGTTTATTCCCAAACAGGGAAAGTGCGACGCCGCTAATGCTCATGAATTCCAAATCAACAGCAGTGAGGATCGGCGGTAAGTAGCGTAGCCCCATCTCTTGGCTGTGCAGGCTACTTGTACTGAGTAAGTTAATCCCAGATCATTTCCTTCGACAGTAGGAATTGAATTGTAATTGAATTGTATGGAAAGTAAAGAACAAGTGAACTTAAACCCTATCGTCATCTTTCACTTGTTCTGGTGCACTCTCTAGGTGTCAATTGAATCGTCACGGGTCAAACCTTCATAAATAGCATTATTTCAATTACTATATTTGCACTCGTTTGTTTTGTTGTTCGAAACAGGGAACAGGATTCCAGTTCACGACTCATGGAGAACGTTTTTTCCTTCCCCCACGATGAATCCTTTCCTCTTCTCCCTTTCCTCAGTCAAGATCCCACTCCTGCTCCGTCTATTCTGCTCCACTGGGGTTTTTATATAGCACCTGGTGTAACAAACATGGGATAACAGTCCCAGTCTGGGGTGTATACTCATCCGCCGATGTGTATACATACATGGGGCACGAACAACCCTGTGTAACAATTAATGTCCATCCATCCATATACTTGTAGATGAAGCACTACCATACAACAATGCACTGGTCATGTGTACAGTGCAGTGTACGAGGTAGGAAAAGAAGCATTCGATAACGGCCCAGACCTAAAGGCAAACTTCCGCGAATCGAGGGCGAGCGGGGAAAAGCGGCCGGGGGTGGGTTGAGATTTAAAGAGTGGTGCGCGGGAATATCGTAGATCATCGCATTTGTGTTTGATTGAACCCGAGAGCCTGGAGAAAACGTAACCTCGTAGCGGAAGCGATACCCGTAACATGCATGATAAAGAAAATATGTACACATATACTGTACATAGATACATACATACATGGCCTCAAGGCTAAACCGGTAGGGACGTTTGTTTGAGACACTCTCAGTGATAGAACAAAGTGACCTACCTAGCATTCTATCGATAGGGCTTTCCAGGTACACGGTTCCAAGCTTACTTACCTAGTGCTCAGCGGACGGAACGGGCAAGAAAAAAAAAGGGCAAGGGCCCGGGGAGATTCCATGCAGACTGGTTGGCATACAGCTCCGGGCTCTATAACCTAGTCTATAACCAACATGCCAGGTTCCTGCTCCCCAGCTTAGAGAGATAGAAATACGGATAGGTGGGAGGGAGAGGGAGGGGGAGTAGCAGAGGTAAAAAAAAAAGGACCAGACATTCAAGAGTCAGGCAGGGTGCTTCCATGATTAGTATGCAGTCAGCGAATGGGGAATGGGTGTTTCAAGGGGATGTGGCCTTTGTGTTTCTCGTAGCGTTGTGGCGAGTCAGGCAGGTAGTCCGCGGTGGTAGGGAGCCATCCTTGATCCTTCATGACCGTATCCAGAAGAGGATGCTAGGTAATGCGGACAGCCTACTGGCTAGAGCCAGCCCAGTGGGTGGTGGCACATGAGAGCCGAGTCCGAGGGAGACATTGCTGTGGCGCGATGGATTCCTTTGCCTGTTCTTCGTTCCCCCTCCTCCTCTCCTCTTCATGGTTGCTTCTCCTTGACGTCGCTCATGCGATGGCTCCACCGAGACAGGGATTGACGGTTGGGGACGTTTCTTGAGCCGAGACAAGAGGGGACGGGGGTAAAGTTAACGTGGTCCGCTAAGGTGCTTTTTTAGATCTACTTTTCTCCAGAGGCTGATGGTGCAAAACAAAATAGGATCTCCTGCAGCCACTTATGAATCACCGGTGGACAAGTCTGCAGTTCGCTCCATCCGTTTCAAGGCCGAGGCTGATGCCTCTTCCAACCATTAGCGAACGGCTGTAAACGCGCGATGAGATAGAGAGAGAGAGAGAACAAGGAGAAAGGAGGAAGGAAAGATGTTCAAGGAGGGGCACTGGCGAATCATGCAAGCCTTGATCCCCCCTCCAAAGTCAATCACAGTTCGGCCAGTGTCCCTGGATAAACTCTCTCTGGGTTATCAACCTTACCCAGTACCTTCCCGAGCATCCTGACTGGGGCCAACCCACTCACACACCCGCACCCACTCTGCAGACTGGTAAAGGAAGCGGGTGTGAACATCCGGCCATTGGTAGTCAAGCCATGCATGAACCACCCATCCATTCTGAGGGGATGAGAGGAGGTTCCATACTAGGTAGGAAGAAGGATGGTTGTCAGCTGCGCTTCTCAATAGACCTATCGATCCTCAGCTCCATGCGCAAGACTGTGTATGTGAGAAGGTGTTACAGTAAATTCTACCTGGATTGCTTTTGCTGCGTCTTCTTCGTCGTGTTTTGTGCTCTGTGGGGTTTTCTTTTTTCCAGGTTCATGATGCGTGTTTCCTGATCCAGACGTTGAACCCCTGGACTGCTCGGTCCGTTTTGCTTTGACTCGTCCGTGTCTGTTCTGTCTGCCTCGTTCGTCTTCTTCGCCTCCTCGTAAGTTGTGCGCCGCCCCTTGCGCGCAACCGCGTGAGCCCATGGCCGTTGACTGGCGAAGAATGGGCTGATGACAGCCAGCCACCAGGATGATGGATAAGCTGTGTGTCGCGGGAACCGGACAACTTCCCCTTTTGATTTGTTCCCAGTCTGCTCTCCTGCAAATAGGATGCAACGGTCGAGACGGCGCTTCTCATGAATCGGTTCGGGCAAAATCATCCGAGGATATGCGATGCTCTGAGTGGATATGTAGACTGTAAATGATTCCAAGTCCAGAGAATATTAAGGTATTATTAAGGTGTAATAATAATAGTAATAATGCTCTTCCCGCGCGTGTCAAAACATTGTAATAAACCAAAAACAACCAATGGGGTATTATTAAGTCCAAGCTCACAAAATGGCCGAAAGAATCAGAACCGACTTATACAAAACACATTCTCCGACTCTGGCCCGCTCTATACCCAGAAGTAGTGCGCACCATAGTTAAAAGGTCATCAGTAAACAAAGGAGAGATCAAACAGAAAAAGAAACACCGGATATTCTCCCGAATACTTTTCTTGTACCGTAAGAAAAACGGTTCGGTCGCTTGCCACGTGACCCGCCGTGGAGATAGCCCGAACCATAGATGAAAACAATGTACATGGTATGAATACAAAGGAAAAATAGGGAAACGATGAGGAAAGAATGACAAGGGTCGGTCGGAGCTCTCAAATATACAGAGAAATGGCTGGAGATATCGTGGTGAGGTAGAAGGAGTCATGCAATCGTTCTCAGCAGGTCAACGAAATGACCACCGTAAATCAGTTGAGCAGATTTTGCAGACCCATGCGGGAATCACGTGGCGAGTCGGTCTTATCTTCTGAAGCGACAGACCAGGTAGGTGATGATAACGAAGATGGTCGGTTCCACGGCTGGTAGTCGGAAGTCCATCGTTGCTTGAAAGACAGATCTGAAAGGGGTTCCAGCGTTTTGATGCCGTAGTAGGGATTGGGGAGGTAGCTTTCGTCGGTTGTTTGGAAGGATGATGCGCTTTGTCTGCGAGCATCGCCATAGAGGTGTCTCATATCCACCGGCACAGGGAGAAGTTGAGGAGAGGCGACGGTTCTGGGCGAGGAAGAGACCGAGTTGTGATCCGAGACCATCGATGGTGGCTCCATTGAGGGGGCATCTGAGTAGGTGGGCGAAGTCAAAGGCGTTTCCACTGGGCGGTTGAGGGCGGGAAGAGTAAAGATGGGCGTCAACTGCCGAGGGCAGTTGATGGAAGATGCTGAGAAGGATTCCCGGCGGGAAGAGGGAGACTTGGTCCAAGAGGAAATCGGTCTCTCGCTGGAGATAGAGGAGTAGCGGGATCGGCTAACGGGGCTGCTCAGAGCCAAAGAAGTGCGTGCATAGGGAGCTTCGATCCGTCCGTGAAGAGTGCGTCCGGAGTGAGGAGAAGTGGGCAGGCCTCGTCTCTTGCGGTTCATGCTGCCATTCCACCAGTTCTTGACCGCATTGTCGCTACGATTCCCCAGACGCCGGGCAATCTCAGCCCACCGTTTGCCCATCTCATTCACCATGCGCTCAATCATCAAGCCTTCTTCAGCCGAAATTGGCTCGCGATTCAATGAGGGCTTCAGGTTCTGGTGGAATCGCTCCCGGCATTGCTTGGGAGAGCGATAGTGCATGTGCTGAGAAATACGAACCCAGTTGTTGGGGCCTTGTTCGCGAACCAACTGTAGGAGTAGCTGATCCTCCTCTGGGACCCAGGGTCCACGACGATGAGCAGGTGCCATTGTGGATGGAAATGAAACTGCAAGGGGCGGCTGAACCGTGGAGAGCAAGATTCAAGTTTCAGTTTCTGTGAGATGATGTTTAGACTTCTGGCACAGTAGATGATCGGAGGAAATAAGAGAAAGGAGAAACAGAAATGATAACAGTTGGACACCATCAATGTAGACACAAAGGGTGTTGAAGAAGGGAAGCGGGCAGATACTGTTGGAGATAATGTATGGGCGGGTGGGGAACGACTGAGGAGTGAAATAGTCAAGGGCGTCTTACCGTGGGGTTGTTTCCGGAGTGTAAGTCCAGTACTACCACTAGTAGTCGGCAGGCAGGCAGGTAGCAGGTATGTGGTAAGGTACTGTAGTGCACAAGGCAGGACTAACACCAGCTGAAAGGTAGGCAAGAAGCAAGGCGCAATGACCACAGACCCAAGCAGCTGGGTGATGCAAGTAGTGGATCGAGAGTTAAGGGACTTGGAAATTGGTTTGTTCAAGGGAATAAGGTTCGAAGGTGCGTCCCTGGGGATGGTAGATATAGGATGAGAGGTACAGTGAGACCCGACGGGACTTTAAAAGATGTTGACAAGGACGGTTTAACAATAGTCAAGTAAAGGAGGGATGGAGATGGAAAGGTTACGATCTTCTATTATAGTAACAAGCAGCAACAGAAGGATACAATGACCAGGGAGACGGGTCAGAGAAAAATGGGTTACTGCTCCACACCAGCACGCTATAGGAGAAGATCTGATCCAAGATCTCGGAGCTGACAGTTGTCGGAGGAATTGTTTTTTTTTTTCCTCTTTTTTTTTTTTTTCTGACAAAAAAAAATTGTCAGAAAAAATAATAAAGATGGTTGTTATTATTCTCGAGATTAGTGTAATTATTTATTTTTTCTATTTCCCTTCATTCCTTACCATACCACGGGAATATGACCAGTACGTATGTATGGTAATTGAAAGATTCAGTACACATTGGATATGGAAGGGTAAGATACGTTTAGCTAACCGACTGATGCTCAACAGTATGTTACTGCTAGGCACGGCTAGACAGATCGATTGTGCCCCCTCCCCCTCTGTCACCAAACATCATTCTGTCTACAACAATTAACCATTCTCAGCCAAGCACACTTACTTACCTAACCACAATCACAAAGAAGCGATCAGATTACCATTACCATTAATTGAACACGGGCTCAACCGATCTCATCTCCTCTCCTTAATCTAGCGCTGGAGACAGACGCTCTCTGCAGTATCTTCTTTCGGTAAAATCGGACCCATCATTGACAGGGAAGCGAAACAACCACGCGGCTGAACAAGCAAGCAAGGCAGCTATCAGCTGCTGCAGCTGGCGTTTCTGGGTCGTGGGGAAAGATTTGCCACTATTCCCGGACACTGACGAGCTTTACCACAGGATCGGTGTTGCAGCAGGGATATTAGAGGTGCCAGTCGCTGGCTCGAGTGAGGCACAGCTGTAGTAGCTCCATGCAGCGTCTATTCTATTTTGAACCTTTTGCTTTTTCGTGTTTCCGCTCACTTGTTGCGCTGCTTAGGTCTATCATCAACCGACCGACTCGTTATGTAAGAGACAGAGACAGTTTGAGACGTCGTCCAGGGGAAGCCAATCAGTTGCTAACCTATATCTGAGGCAAGGCTAGGCTGACCTTCAGAGTGCTGCTATAGTTGTTAGAGGAGCTACCATCCAGATCTTTGGGGGCTATCTAATTGCAATGCTTTTGCTGCGAGCAGTCTGTTCTGGGGCGCTTACTTGCATGGGGCACCCTGGTAATATGATCTTCACTAGTTCTATATAAGTTCCAGGATGACGAAGTAACTCCATTCGGAGCACAAGCGCCATATATCCCACACACCCTCTCTGCCTTTTTCTATCCCCCTTCTGTGATAGTCCTAAAGATTCGAGAAATTAGGGTGGAAAAATAGCTTAGCTTGATTTTTTTTTCTTGTGACGCAAAATGGGTTAAGACTTTACACGGATGATGGCTTTTTTTTCTTGTGTGTGTGTGCATTTCCCCACACTCGTAGCAGTGTAGGTATCGAAGTATATACAAGCCAGAGAATTCGGTGGACTTCCCGCTCTCAGGGCGACCTGTAGTCATAAGCGATCTGTAGACCGAGGCGAACTAACCGCCGCAGCTTAATCCATGCCTATGTCAGGTTCAGGCGGCCCTGACAGGAGCAACGGGTGCGGCAAAAACGGCGAAGTGTAGGTAAATGCGTAGGTAAATGCGAGGAAGGGGGTCATACACGTCGAATGCAGAATTTCATGGATCCTGCGGGGCGGGCTCCTTCGGGGACCATGATAACAAACCGCAAACGACGAACGACAAGAGCGGAGGAAGGGGCTGGCAGGGAACAGGGAAGTAGGTAAAAATAAACCAAGGGACTGGAAGCCAAACCACCTTCGCTTCCTGCCATGCCCCCTTCCGCCCGCATGGTGGAAGATGGTGTGTTGAAACTTGAAGGTGTTGACTGTTGAGCTGTTGCGCCGACATCACGGGCAGCGGGCTCGCTCGTTCAGGGCTAATCTAGGCACAAGTGACATGAATTGAACTAGGAGAGAAGCTCGAATCAAGATGGATCCACCACACTAATGAAATTGGGCAGTGACAGATCGGGCTATGTATGAGAAAGGTCTTCTTACTACGTACTCTACTGAGTACAAAAACCAAGAGTACTTACTAAAAGTACTTTGTACCTGACAGACTGAAATTCATCACGAGGGATTATGCCAGGGTTGCTCTCTTACATTTAGGATTAATCTATTACGTTACTTCCCTTTATTAATTGATCAACGAAGCCCGGTCTAGCTTCTTTTACCTTCTTTAGTAGAGAGGGAGGGTGAGGAATCCATTGGCGACTACAGAATATTACACATCAATGCCACGTTAGAAAAGAAGGTGCATGATTCCCTAAGAGGAAATCTCAGCTTGCCTCGGTGGTGGTGGTGGTGGTGGTTCTCCGTCTCAGCCAGCCATGAGATGTTGAGGAGAATGATCGAATTCCGCTACAATAAATCTAGTCTAATTACTATTATTTCCTCCCGCTCCGACTTGACCTCTCCCCCTCGCCCCCGTGGACCGTTATCCAGAACATGACCTCGAACTGTTTTAAGTGGGGCTCTGTGATTGGCGCAGGCCAACCTGCAACAATTTGGAATCTTTTCAAGGTTGATTTGGTCTTATACCTGTTCGGGATGAGATCGGCACTGAGATCGCGCACAATCTCGATCATGGATGATTGCTGGGACGGATACTCCGTACCTTTTTGGGGATCATTCGTCTGCGAGTCAGTCACCTGCAGGCCCAGGCATGACCGTCTGTCCGTACTTAGTACTTACATGTGTACTTACTATACGGAGTACGGAGTGTACTGTACTCTGTACTCTGTCTTCAGCGGCACATTCTTAGTCATGCTTCCAGGTTTGACATAACCCTCCGTCCTCCTTAACCAGGTACTTGGTAAGTTATGCCGCTCGACCACCCCCTGGTTTAAACGGTGTGTCCGCTGCTCCCGAATAGTCAGTATTATTACGCACAGCTGCCAGCCTGCCAGTAAGCTTCTCGACCCGACTCCCGTCGTGCCAAACACACGGGACAGAATCCCATCCCTTCGGTCCCATTAAGTGTTTGATTGTCACTGTTGCGGGACTTGAGGACAGCGCTGACTAAATTCCACGCTCTTAATAACTAACTAATTTATCCTCTCGGCACATCGCCCTTTCATCGCTGGAGTTCTTTTCCGATGCAGGCGCATAGCACACTCCCACGGGGAGGTTCGAGCACCGCCTGAATGTGATCCATTCAGGGGCACAGTCGATGGGGAAGCGGGCTAATTGCAATATCGCACATGCCACCAGCGGATTTCAAAATACGCTCCCTCCCCTTCCAACGAAAAGAGGAAAAAGGAAGTGAAAAAAAGAAAGAAAAACCAATATTTCCGGCGGTTTCAATCCAATCAACGAGTCAAATCCAAGATACTGACTCACGTTTGACTGCAGGGTTCTTTTTTTCCCGGGTCCATTAGCTTTTCGGACATGTTCGCTTGTATCGCATATGCAGTAGAAGGATGATAGATCTCATCGAACAATCCAGGATTTCCCCTATTTGGACCTCCTGGATCGAGCGCAGTAGACATATGTACGGCGAGATCGGTTGGCTCCTAAGAATGATGGCGAATGACCTTGCCTTCTCAAGACTAGCTTTGATCAATCCTGCAGGTTGCTGCAAAGGACATACGCAGATACGCTCCCAGCAGTGACCACAGGTGGTTAGGGATACTACCCTATCCCATCAACTATCGCCAGCCTAGGAGACGTAAACCGGCGACTAGTATACGGGGACTACGATCGCCCGGGGAAGTCGGAAGATTTGGAATCGGTCATAGACCACGGAAGTACCACAGCTAAGCCAGTCAGGAGATGTCGCCTACTCACCGGAGGTGCTTCTAAATTATGCGGCGGCGCCTGTCCCGCTGTCATACTGACGGGACTAAGAAGCTAACGTCAACCCTCTTTTGCAACTACGGTCCACTAGTACCTCGCTTCTCATAACATCTTGGGTGATGATGGATTCTCATAGACAAAGGATTGCCCGATCGAGATCTATCATGACTGCCATTGGCCGATCTAAAGTGATCGAAGCTTGCAAATCTACAGTGATCCTTGGTCGTGGGATGGAAGCGGAGAAAGGTGGGTATGGTGAGTCGATCTTATCCAGATCATCGTGCTGTTATCAACTTATCATCATCATTGTCATCGACAATTATGAGCAATCATGAGGTAGTCGGCAAAAGTAACGAGCGATCGTTGCTCTTCTCCGTTCGCGTGGTTTCAGATTACATGGTGCATCACCCACTCCCCCGGCCATAGAGTGTCCCCGAAAATTCCTTTTTTTCTCCAGCCTTATTTCGGTAAACTCTTAACGCGGGTGCAACCCAACCAAAAAATGAAGAAAGAAAAATTCTCCGTGAAGCGAGATCGTCGTTACCCTGTGTCTACCGAATGCAAAGACTGTCCGTGTTCTGTTACAGATTCGCAGCACAGCGCAGCGGATGGTCGGTCACCTTTCTGGTACCCTTTCTTTTTTTCCTTTCTGCTTGTTCTAGAGCTAGCAGTTTACCGACGAAAAGGTGGGTAACTGTCACTTTATCTAGCTGTCATCCGAAACAATAACTTCTACTACGTACCAGAAAGCCAAGTGCCCATCGAAAGAGATTCATTTTGGGCGTCGGCTAGGCAAGCTGGACCGCGCATAGATCACAAAACGATAATAGGACTTCCAGGCGAACGCCACGAGCTATGTACTGTGTAGGGACGAACCGTGGAAGTGAACCTTGGTCCAGGAACATTGAAAAGGTATCCGATCAGATGAATGTCATTCTTACCTGTCCGCCAATACACGATGGCAGTTTGGTACCGTACCTCGAACTTTGGAAAGATAACTTACCTTACTATATAGCTTGTTTCCC